ACTATGTTCAAAAGGGACTAAACTCTACTTCTGTTATGAGAAAGTACAACTCATTCAAAAAGGACACTGAGGCAACATAAAATTACAAGAATTCATTCCAACAGCCAGTCTAGGACCTTGGTGTTCTAGCCCTCCAGTTCTTGAGTTTGCCTTTTCTGCTGGCTTTCCTTTCTGCCCTTATGTATCCGTCAACCAGGCTCCTAATTGGTTCCTCTAGTCCTTCCACAGAATAAAGTTCCACCTCTGAACTCCAGCCATCTTGTGACTATGTGTCTGTTATCAGTGGAAAACCTCCTGTGAAACTACACATAGACAGTTAAACTTGAAACTCTAAGGTTGATGGACTGCATTTTTTTGGCTCAAGCCACCACTGCTGGATAAATGAAATTCTAGGCACCGGAATGTAAAATGCCTAACAGCTTCTGTGTACACATTTGTTTTTCTCTTTTAATTGATATTCTGGCTTTAGCCCCACTGCGGAGTTATATCTATTGAACAAATAATTCTGATGCTCTTATTTTCTTTATTCTCAGTCCTGGAGAGATGAGGAAGGGGGGAACGTAGGTAGGAGACAGGATTTTGTGGACTTTTAGCTCACCGCCTCCTAAACACTACTGTTCCAGCCCGGTACTGTCCAAGCAACCTTGTTTATGGAATCTTTACACTGGCTTCCTAAAACCTCCAGGACATGGAAGAGGCAAAATAGCATAATGGTATTCACCCTGGAGCCAAAAGCCTTGATTGACTCTGACTTTGAGACTTATTCATTCTCATTCTGTGTAAGTTTTCTCATATATAAAATGGGGATAATAAAATGTCATAGGATTATTGGAATAGTATGTATAAAGGGCTTCAAACAGTGACCGACTCATAGAAATTTTTCAGGAAGTGTTGGATATTCCAACTAGTCTTTGCTCCTGAAGAAAAGGTAATGATTTCTTAAGTAGATTTGTCCATTTTACAGGACCTCTTAGGCTAACAATAGTCCAGAAAACTGTTTCAGTGCTTTCTATTTTTAGTTCTGGATCTGTTCTTTTCCTCTGCTTAGAATCGTCTTTTCTGGAGTTTTGCATGAATTATCTTTTATTGTTCAAAGCTCAACTTGAATAGTCCCCCCCATTAGAAAGACCTGCCTTGGCCATGCTTGATAGAGTCACCACTGCCTATTTTCTATATTTGACCCTGTTTATTATGTCCTTATAGCATAATTTATAATTATTCTTAATGTGATAGTTAACATTTTTGTCTGTTTCCTCTACTTGATAGTAAATTTAGTGAGTGGAGACAAAGTTTTTGATATGTTTATCTAACATATATATATAAATAAATATATGTACACACACATATAAACACACTGTATGAGACAGAGAAAGAAATATTGATTCATATTGACTGAATGTTGACATACTGCAAGACCATCAGAAATTTCAAAAACGAAACACTCATGTTACATTTGTTTCCTCGAGTAAAACTGAAGAAATGCAGATATTTTCAGAAAATTGTCAGAACAATTTTTATCTGATTTTCCCCAAATAGCCCTATATTGGTTTAATATTTGCTAGTTTTGTTGATTCTTTCAAAACCCTACTTCTAGTTTTGTCAGACTTGGGCTTGAACTAGAACTTGACATCACCTTAAAGTTTGCCTAAGACACTGTTTAAAATATGATTAACTGGCAAATTTATTTCTCCTCCTGACCCAGGAGAATTTAGGATTGATTGAGTCAGATTCTAAGTAATGCAAATTCTGCCCTAATTGTACAAACACACTTCAGCTTCCTCACATTCTTGTTCCTTCTGGTTATCTGCTGTTAGCAAAAGAGAAAGAATAGGGAAAATAATTTGCTCTCTTATATCCCCTCAAGATGATATGTTCTAGGTGTGATTGAATATCTCCAAACCCTTATATAAATGTCAAGTCAATAACCTCTAGCTAATATTTATTAAGAGCCTAGTAGCAGGCACAATGCGGTTAAGTGTTAAGGATCCAGTTGAATAAGATACAACACTCCTCATAATTTACAAGGATAAAATCGAATCAGATATAGTTAGATACATGTAAAATGTAACTAAAATACATTACCAAATATAATATGATAACGCTACCATTATTCAAAAACTTGGAAGGTACAGTAAAGAATATGATAACTAAAACAAGGCTTCTCATGTTCCTTTTAAAAAGAAATTATTCCTGGCTGGCCATGGTGGCTAATGCCTGTAATCCCAGCACTTTGGGAGGTCAAGGTAGGTGGATCACCTGAGGTCAGGAGTTCAAGACCAGCCTGACCACCATGGAGAAACCTCATCTCTACTAAAAATACAAAATTATCTGGGCATGGTGGTACATACCTATAATCCCAGCTACTCGGGAGGCTGAGACAAGAGAATCGCTTGAACCTGGAGGCAGAGGTTGTGGTGAGCCGAGATCATGCCATTGCACTCCAGCCTGGGCAACAAGAGCAAAACTCCATCTCAAGAAAAAAGAGAATAAGATAACTATCATTTGTTACATAGTTAAACTCTATGTAGTTACTGGGCACTATATTTTTAATTTAACATTTAAATTTGGTTTTTGAAAGATGCTTTTTCCACGTATACTTGAGGGATAGAACAGGAAACGTGCATTTGTGAAACAGCAAGCAGTGTGGTGTGATGAAGCAAGGGCTCCCTTCCAGAGAAGCAGGAAATAGGACTGCGCAGGGAGGTCATGTTCAGGGCCTGTGGGACGTTTCACAGCAAGGAATCAAACAACCTCTATGGCCAGAACATCTGCATTCATTCACCAAAAATGCATGTGTAAAGACTGCACAATAATTTAAAAAATACGGTATATTGGCTATTTAATTATATTTTTAATAGTAACACCAATGCCTTGCAAAGTATGAGGAGGTTTTGTTTACTTAGAATTATGGCATTATAAGCTAATTCTTGATTAGCTAAGCGATTTATATATTAATTTTGATGGTGTCAATTAAAGAACTGATATTTAATAAGAGCTAATATTCTCAGAGGAAACACATTTTGACACCTAAAGTTAAGTCTTTCTTGGTTTTGATTTTGGCAGTGTTTTTGGAGAAAGGATTTGAACAGAGCCAATTTGTCCTAAATATTACAAGGACTAGAACTTGACCACATGGGAGGACATTTCAGATTAAGAGGGATATTAGGCCCTTTTGAGAGGTGTAAGTTGTGATCTCTTCTTACAGATGAGCTACGGACATTAGTCAGAGGTTTCACGCTCTGGATGTGTGTTATGTATGTTATACATACCATTTTGAATCTTTTGTTTTCTTTCTTTAATAGAGTCTAGGAGGCAAAGTTTCTGAAAACATGATAGCCATTAATGAATTTAATAGACCTTTGAATCATAAGAGTATTTGGAATAATTTCTTTCTTTTTCTTTTCTTTTTTTTTTGAGATGGAGTCTCACTCTGCTGGGATGGTGCAATCTTGGCTCACTGCAGCCTCTACCTCCTGGGTTCAAGCGATTCTCCTGCCTCAGCCTCCCTAGAGCTGGGATTACAGGCACATAACACCATGCCTGGCTAAGTTTTTAATTTTTTAATAGATACAGGGTTTCACCACGTTGGCCAGGCTGATGTTGAATTCTTGACCTCATGGGGTCCACCCACCTCGGCTTTCCAAAGTTCTGGGATTATAGACGTGAGCCACAGCAGCCAGCCAGGAATAATCTCTTTTTAAAAAGAATGTGAGAGGCCTATTTTTATGACATTTTAAAAGGTTCTAACCACTTTTTTGAACTACAGTTAGCGTGATATGACTACATATATTTAAATTATGCAGCATAGTAAATGTTGGCATATGTATTTATCTTGAAACTATCACCGTAATCAAGATGAGGACCTTATCCATCATAATCAAGGAAAATATATATTTTTCACACTTAGAGACTCAAAAAAATTGTCAGATTCTAAAATTTGAAGTACTTTGTTTTATCCAAACAGTTGTCTGAGAATAACAATGGGCATATTCTTCCTATTACATCTCAAACGAATACACAGGCATCGATTTTAATCATATTAGGACATTAATCTTAAAAAAAATCAATCGAGGTAAGCTCACTCCTGTTTACAAGACATCATTATAATTGGAGTAAAGAAAACTTAAAGAAGAATTAAATGACAAGACATTTTCATTTTCATTTGAAAATTCAGACATGGGGAAGCATTTATCTTTTAGAATGTAATTGTCCAAAATGAACACATGTCGTTTATTACATGTATCTGTCAGTAAAGGAAAAAAAAATACGTCTGAGATTAATGACATGCAGTTTCCTAACATAAGCTTCTGGGGGTTAGAGATGGCCTCAGAAGATCTCAGCCCTTCACTCTGCTGTCTCCCTGCTCTTAGAGGGTGTCAGTGGAAAATGAAGGTCCACATCTCCTCTCAATCCTGCAGACTTTTCTGGAGTGGCTTCATCATCCAACATCGCCACCCCTGGGGTGGGCCTGATTTGAGGCAGAATCTAGCATTCCCTTTCCAAGGAGCCCAATACCTACAAATCCTCAGCTGTTCTCTCGTTTTTCCTGTCCTCCACTGCAGGTTTACTGTACGGTCTAGGTGGTGGTGAGGACGGCTAACTTTAAGTCTCATGGATTTTTTAAAAATTATATTGTTGTCTTTGGCTCAATAAGAAATTTGAGAAACAAGAATTAGTTTTCTGTTATCTGTGCTCCGCTGCCATCCCCTCACTGGGGCTGTGAAGGTGTAGCTGCTGCAATGAGGGGAAGCTGAGGCGTAACTGGAATGCTAAAAGCAAAAGCATGACTTCCAAACTTTATCCCATGACTTTGACTTTGGTTGTTATTATTTTGTCTCCCATCAAATGTAAGGTCTGTGAAATAATCTTATTTTCAAATATATTGAGTGCCTTTTTTATATCATAAAAATATATTGAGTGCCTTTTTATAATATAAAAATATTTTATAATACAATATATATATATATATATATATATATATATATATATATATATATTTTAAACTAATTTTATTCCTAAAGTTAAAATCAGCTAGCAGGTAGCACTGAAAATACACCTTCACTATACAAAATGGTGTAAACTGATTACACATTAATAAAGAATTTAGCACACACACTTCTAATAAAAGAAGCTAGATGCAGCCCTTGCTATAAAAAGCTATACCTGAACAAAAATGGACATGTGTAGTCTAAGGCCCTGGCAGTCGACTATAGAATGTCAGTTGTTCCCAATTATGTTTAAATGCAGAAACAGCAACAATGTGGAAACTTACATTCATCAAATGTTAGTTAGCTTTTAAAATATACATGACTAAAAAAGCAAACATTCAGAGGAGCCCCTGCTCAGCATGTTCCATGTCGGCCACTTGTGGACACTGATCTCACCCAAAGAGGACAGAAGTTTCAAACATCTGAGCAGTTTAAGTTAAAAATAGGATGAAGGGGAAATAAGAGAAGGGGGTAACTGTCCTCCAAAGACACAGTAGCTGTTGCCCACATGATGCAAGCAGACTGACTTCAATGAGTGTTCAAGGGATGGGTGATAAAGCCCAGCTGAGCCCCGGAAGCTCATGTGTCCACAGGCAGACAGGCTCATGGCATGGACCAAGGTTTCCACAACTCAGTATGGATCTTTCTGTCCCCACTTAGTAGTGAAAATAATTTTTAAAAATAGCTTCAGCCTTTGAACAGTAACTTTCTAGTCCCTTCTGTGCATAGAAATGTTTGGGGTCAAGTTTGGGGTGACTGTCCTGTTGAGGGGAGCCTCAGTTTTAGGACTTGAACACATGCATGGCTAGCACCACATACTGCCGGCAGATGGGACACTCACTCACGCGCTTGCCGCACTCGGTGCAGGTAACCACGTGCCCGCACTCCCGCAGGACACAGTCGATGACAGCATCCATGCAGATGCCACACAGGCTGACGTCTTCCTCATCTTGCAGCTGCAGCCGCTCGCCATGGGACTTTTGGTTTTCTTCATTCTCTTTGTATAACCGGTTTACTTTCTCTACCAGTTCCCATTTTTCACAACAGCCAGAAAAGTTGACAAAATTCCGAGCCAGGATTTCCTTCAGCTGGCGCACGATCATCCCTTCCACATCATCGAGGCTTGACAAGTCAGACAGCGAAGCTCTCACTGTCTCCTTGGAGAGCCCAGGGGTCCGATCATCCACGTTTTCTTCTTCCTCGTCGTCGTCATCCTCCTCCTCCTCCTCATCATCTGTGTTTGCTGAAGTGATTTCACTTTCTACTTGTGCCGGCACTCCAGATCTGAATGTCTGGTCTCCATCCATAAGCTTTACAAATATTTTATAATATAAAAAATATTTTATAATATAAAAAAGGCACTCAATACATTTGAAAATAAAATTAATAAGTAAGTAAATAAATAAATACTGAGTTGGTCAAGACCTAATCATGCACACTGATTTTTCAGCTTCCTATTTTCTTTAGGTCAAAAATAAGCTACTAATTAAATAATTCATGCCTTAGTTTATCCAGGCTGCTGTCACAAAATACCATAAACTAGGTGACTCGTATAAACATTTCTCACAGTTCTAGAGGCTGGAAAAGCAAAGATGGAAGTACCAGCCAATTTATTGGGAAGGCAAAGATTGAGGTACCAGCAGAGCCAGGTACCACTTCCCAGTTCATAAATGACACCTTCTCGCTGTGTCCTTACATGGTGGAAGGGGCAAGGAGTCTGTCTCAGGCCTCTTTTATAAGGGCACTAAACCCATTCAGAAAGACTATTCCCATGACGTAATTATCCAAAGGCCTTATCTTCTAATACCATCACTTTGGGACTTAGGATTTCAACATACGAATTTTGAGGGAACACAAACATTCAAACTATAGCAAGTTGTATATTACTTTTTATGTCTTTGGGGGGATGCTTCCTTTACTTCCCCCTCTAAATGAAGATACTTTATTTTTTTGATTAATTTTAGGTTTTGATTAGTAGAAAGTACAGAGAGTTACCATATACCTCCTCATCCCACACAATTTCCCTTATGCTGGAGTGCAGTGGCACAATCTTGGCTCACTGCAGCCTCCATTTCCCAGGCTCAGGTGATTCTCCCGCCTCAGCCTCCCAAGCAGCCAGGACTACAGGTGTGCATCATCATGTCTGCTAACATTTTGCATTTTTGAACAGATGGGATTCAGGCTGGTCTCCATCTACCTTCCTCAACCTCCCAAATTTCTGGGATTACGGGAATGAGCCAACATGCCTGACTAATTTCCCCTATTATTAATACCTTGCATTACTGTGGAACATTTATTACAGTTGATGAGCCAATATAAATTATTATTGACTAAAGTCCATACTTTACATTGGAGTTCCCTCATTGTGATGTATACTCTGTGGGTTTTGACAAACATGAAATGACATATATCTACCATGACATTAGGACACAGAGTAGTTTCACTGCCTGAAAAATCCTTTGTGTCCACCTTGTTATCCCTCCCTACCCCAACCCCTGACAACCACTCATCTTTTCAGTGTCTTCACAGTTTTGCTTTTCCCAGAATGGCATTAGTTGAGATCATATAGTACGTTTGTTTCCAAGTTTTAGCAATTATGAAAAAAGCTGCTATAAACTTTCATCTGCAGGTTTTTATGTGAACATGTGTTTTCAACTCAAATACCTAGCAGTGCAGTGACTAGATCATATGGCAAGAGTGTATTTCATTTTGTAACTGCCAAAATGCCTTCCCCAGTGCCTCATTTACTGTATAATATTTATTATTTAAATGCATTTTAAGTCGCTTTTAGGATGGTAATTAGAAAATGTTCGTTTTCATGTCTTACTCTTTTTTTCTTTGTGACTTGAGTAATTATATGTGTGTGTCACAGTGTCTCACAATGGCAGTGATGCACTCACAGCCCTCAGCTCCCCCCACGATCTTCCCTCTTTTCCTGCACCTCAGCTGGAAAATTCACAAGCATTTAAAATTTATTGCTTACAATTAGGGAGAAGCACTAGAAAAGCATAAATGGAACTGTTTCCTAGTTGATTACTTGTCTATTTAATAGCTGTTTAATTTATTATTGCAGAACGTATTATAATTATTAAACTATTAACATTGCATTGAGCCTGACAAAGCGATTGTGCTAATTCAACATTTATTCAATAGCTACTTATTGATTTCCTACAATGTGTCACACATTATATATTTGTTCATCCTTTGATTAATGAGATTAAATGTTAGATTTTTGTAGGATTCTTTGTTATGCCCCCTGCAAAGCAAAACTACCGATTATCATATATAGGGATACAGGCTATTTTACTAGCTCAAAATGTAGTGTTTTGTATGTGCCTATAAGAATAGATAACACTCGTCGTAGGCAAAGCCTGAGTCCTGTCCTGTCGCTCTCCTCCCGGGACAGCATGAGCTTCACCACTGGCTCCACCTTCTCCACCAACTACCAGTCCCCGGGCTCGGTCCAGGTGCCCAGCTACAGCGCCTGGCCAGTCAGCAGCGTGGCCAGTGTCTGTGCAGGTGCCAGGGGCTCTGGTTCCCGCATCTCCATGTCCCACTCCACCAGCTTCCAGTGTGGCATGGGGTCTGGGGGCCTGGCCACGGGGATGGCCCAGGGTCTGGCAGGAGTGAGAGGCATCCAGAATGAGGAGACTGTGCAAAGCCTGAACGACCACCTGGCCTCTTATCTGGACAGAGTGAGGAGCCTGGAGACTGAGAACCAGCAGCTGGAGCGCAAAATCCAGGAGCACTTGGAGAAAAAGGGACTCCAGGTCAGAGCCTGGAGTCATTTCTTCAAAACTGTCCACCTGAGGGCTCAGATCTTCACAAATACTGTAGATAATACCCGCATTGTTCTGCAGATCGACAGTGCCGGTCTTGCTGCTGATGGCTTTAGAGTCAAGTATCAGACACAGATGGCCATGCGCTTGTCTATGGAGAGCGACACCCATAGGCTCTGCAAGGCCACTGATGACACCAATGTCACTTGGCTGCAGCTGGAGACAGAGATCGAGGCTCTCAAGGAGGAACTGCTCTTCATGAAGAAGAACCATGAAGAGGAAGCAAAAGGCCTGCAAGCCCAGACTGCCAGCTCTGGGTTGACTGTGGATGTGGATACCCCCAAATCTCAGGACCTCGCCAAGATCATTGCAGACATCCGGGCCCAATATGACGAGCTGGCTTGGAAGAACTGACAGGAGCTGGACAAGTGCTGGCCTCAGCAGATTGAGGAGAACATCACAGTGGTCACCACGCAGTCCGCCAAGGTTGGTGCTGCTAAGATGATGCTCACGGAGCTGAGACATAGAGTCCAGTCCCTGGAGATAGACTGGACTCAATGAAAAATCAGAAATCTGAAGGCCAGCTTGGAGCACAGCCTGAGGGAGGTGGAGGCCCGCTACTCTGTGCAGATGGAATGGCTCAAGGGGATCCTGCTGCACCTGGAGTCAGAGCTAGCACAGACCTGGGCAGAGGGGCAGCACCAGGCCCAGGAGTACCAGTCCCTGCTGAACATCAAGGTCAAGCTGGAGGCTGAGATTGCCACCTACCACCACCTGCTGGAAGATGGCTAGGACTTCAATCTTGGTGATGTCCTGGACAGCAGCAACTCCGTGCAAACCATCCAAAAGACTACCACCTGCTGGATAGTGGATGGCAAGGTGGTGTCTGAGACCAATGATGCCAAAGTTCTGAGACATTAAGCCAGCAGAAGCAGGGGACCCTTTGGGGAGCAGGAGGCCAATAAAACGTTCAGAGAGAGGGAAAAAAAAGAAGAGATAACACTTTAGTTTTTTTGTTTGTTTTGTTTTTGAGACAGAGGCTGGAGAGCAGTGGTGAGGTCTCGGTTCACTGCAACCCCCGCCTCCTGGGTTCAAGCAATCCTCCTGCCTCAGCCTCCTGAGTAGCTGGGGTTACAGGTGACTGCCACCACGCCCTGCTAATTTTTATATTTTTAGTAGAGAGGGGGTTTCACCATGTTGGCCAGGCTGGTCTTGAGCTCCTGACCTTGTGATCCACCCACCCCAGCCTCCCAAAGTGCTGGGATTACAGGCATAAGCCATCGTGCCTGGCCAATACTCTAGTCTTTAATTAGCATAGAAACATATATGTTGTCGGTTACACTTACTTTTCATACAATATACCATGTGCATGTGGCCTTTTTCAGTGACCTTAAATCATGTACTGTGGAAAACTGAGGGTTTTCTTTGGGAAACTTCCTCCACTATTGCTCTGTTGTTTTTCTTCCTCTGGTCACTCCTCTGTGAATTGTGTTGGCCTCTCTTCCTCTACCTGCTTTAAAAATATTGTATTGCCCATATTTTCTGTCTTAGTACTTCTATTCTCTCTCGAGATGATCTACCCATTTCTCCAAATGTCGCTACACATTAAAGAATCGGCAGGGCTCGGTGACTCAACGCCTATAATCCCAGCACTTTGGGAGGCTGAGGCACTTGGATCAGAAGGTCAAGAGATCAAGACCATCCTGGCCAGGATGGTGAAATCCCATCTCAAATACAAAAATTAGCTGGGTGTGGTGGCACATGCCTGTAGTCCTAGTTACTCAGGAGGCTGAGGCAGGAGAGTCACTTGAGTCCGGGAGTCAGAGGTTGCAGTCAGCCGAGATCTTGCCACTGCACTTCAGCCTGGGCGACAGAAAAAAAAAAAAATCACTAAGCTTTGTTTTTAACCTGCAGTTTCTTCTTCTTTCTCATCCTCTATACTGCAATTGCAACTGCTTCTGAAAATATATCCCTGGATGTCCTGCAAATAGAACATATTTTACTGATCTGAAGCTTAACTCATTACCTTCCTCCAAAGGTCCCCCTCCCCTTCCCCTTTCTCCCTTCCCCTTCCCTTCTCCTCCCCTCCCCTTTTCTTTTCCATGCGCATGTCAAAAAAATGCAATCAGTACAAAGCAATTCCTCAGAGACAACCACTCTTGCCAGTTACTTATGTATTATTCCACAGACATTTGATGCAGATAAAAAACATATATGTATGTGTGTTGTCCATTTTGGGCACAAATGACAAATGATGACATACTGTGTACACTGTTCTGCATCTTGCTTTTTCTCATGTAATATGTTCTAGAAATTAGTTCATAATCAATAATCACAGACTTGACATTGCTTTTAATGAATGTAAAATATTCACTAATATGGATGTACATACTTTTAACTTATTGACAGCATTTCAGTTGTTTCCCATTTTTGTTCCTAAGGCATTTCTGAAATGAATGTTGAAATGTACAATGTGCATTTATTTACAGGTTTGATTTATAGAAGTAAAATTAAGTCAAAAGTATGTAC